GAAGAAGAAGGAGGAGGAGGAGGAGGAGGAGGAGGAGGAGGAGGAGGAGGAGTGAGTCTTTCTTGGCGCCTTCCTGACCTTCCGCTCACTAAGGCGCTCTCCTGCGTCCTGGCCAGCTAGAGCCGCATAGTGTCCCCTGAGGATGGCTGTGAGCACCCTGCTTCTGGTCCTCCCTGCCCACATCCCTTCCCCTGTATTCATAGCGAGCCTCATCCATTCTGACCACAGACCCCAGAAAACTGGAGAGAGAAAGGGAACAGAGCTCCAGCCTGGTTTTTTCTCCTATTGGGAAGAAGGGACAGACACAGGTACTGGCCTGGTAACACCCAGCAGCTCAGCTCACCCAGTGGGTGACCTGGGACCCAGGTGATGAGACACACACTTTCCCTCAGGGCCTCTGAGTCCTCTGTGACCCAGCCCACCCACAACTGCTTCTCTGGCAACAGTCTTGCCAGATGGAACTGCTATGCGCAGAGATTGCACATCTGCGGGCCCAGCAGTAGTCCAGGCCGGTGAGGGGCTGTCCTCCGGAGGCTGGAGGGTGAAACCCGGCAACACCCCAAGTCTTGCAGGCTCTGCTCATTGTGCTTGTACTGAGAATCCAAGCGCCCCAGGTCCCAGAGAAGACACCCACGCAGGAGGTCTGCAGAGATGGCTCCGTACCACTGGGGTCCACGCACCAAAGACCAGGGCCCAGGCCCTTGGCAGCTGGGGCCAGACAGGCAGGTCATTCCCGGGAATCAGAGACCAGTGCGCAGGGTGGTTACTGCCTGGCTGGGAAGACTGTGTCACTGGTCACCTTGGCTAGCCATGGTACCTAGCTGGTTGGTCAGGCACCAATCTAGATGTGGGTTTGAAAGTTGTTGTTTTCTCTTTCTTGAGAGACAGAGTCTCACTAGCAGCCCAGGCTGGTCTTTAACTAATGTCAATCCTGTTTCCTCAGCCTCCCCAGTGAGATTGTGGGTGTGCCCCACCTTCCCTGGCCTATGTTTTTAGATATTATTAACCTTTAAATCAATAGACTTTGAATAAAAGAGGTTGGCCCCACGCTTGGGTGGGCCTTGTCTGATCAGTTGAGGGTCGTAAGTGCTCCCCTAAGGAAGAATAATTCTCCATCTCTGTGGCCTCCAACTTGTGCCAACCCCTCATCTCGACCGTGGGTTTCCAGATCTGACCTTTTCAGATTTTCTGGCCCCATCATTATTTCACTGTGTGAGTCAATTCCTGAAAGCAAAGTGCCCCGTCTTTCTCCTCCCCTTTCTCTCGAAAAACCTGAGTATTACACCCGTAAATTTCTCTGGCAGGTTCTACCAGAGCCTGAATGCTAGGTCTTAACAAGTCAGGCCTGCTCTGATATTCCAGTCCAGCTCAAATCCTCCTCCGGAGCAGCCTCTGTGCCCACCAAGACTGCCTGTGACAAAACTGGGGACAGGGGTTCCCACACATCACCTTGCCTTACCTTGGACACTCGCTGGTGTATTTGTAGACTCTTCCTGACACCTCCCCCTCCTCTAGAATCAAGTAGTGAGCTAGCTCAGATCCTAAAATTGTCCCCAACTACATGAAAGCCCAGGACGTACTACATGAATGAATGAATGAATGAATGAATGATTTAATTTTTATGTCCTCTTTTTTAAAAAAATTTTTATTTATATTTGTGTGTGTGTGTGTGTGTGTGTGTGTGTGGCCAGCTCAGCCCACCAGGGGGCGGGGCTGGCTGGCATGTGGTGCTGGGGGATTGAAC